TCCTTCCTTCTCTGGTGATCTTTTAAGAACTCATTTTTTTGCTGCTTGTCGATCAGAATTTACTCAACTCCCTACAGGCTTCGTTACTGCTGTAGCTTCAAGAGGAGGATCTTTTCATTTGGAAGGCGGGTAGTCAGCAAACGGTTCTGAACTACGCAGCCATGTTCCCTGTCATCTGTCCCTGGACTCTCCCATTGAGACTGCCCTCCCAGAGTGCTTTGCGAGTTCCCTGCCTGTCTTGCTATTTGAATCTAAAGCGTTCCTTCCACTTAGGTTGCTGGGACAGAATATCCATTTGGACAGCCGCAGAAATGCTGTCCTCATTTACAGCCAATAACCCATAGACTGTCCCTAACCTGGGGGACCCGTCCAGAGTCCAAGCCAGCTTTCCTATGCATAAAGCAGACACTTAATCTATGGAAGCTCAGGGTTCTGGCCCAGCTTTGCTTCTCTGATGTCCTTAGAAATGAATGTCCAGGCGCTAGAGGGTAAGGTGTCATCAGTTTATTTTTAGCTGACGACAGCTGCCCTTGGATGTCTGAGGATTAGGAATTTGGGGGCAGTATCAGGTGCTGAATGGTCTTAATTCCGGTTTGGTTTTATTCCTGCTTCAAGCCCTTTGTTGAGAAGCATGGCCCATCTTCTCGTTGTCAGGGCAGAGAACAATATTGAACTTCACAGGCTCATGATAAATCAAAGCTGCTCTATCCAAGCCCAGTGGTACTTTGATATTTGACCCAGAAGGTTGTATCCACGGAGACCAAATGGCGCTTCCCTTGGTTAATAGTGGACACTACTCATTACTGTCCCACAGACTATATTTATCTTGAGCGCCTGTGTCATTATACAGCCTTTTGGGGGTACAAGGGACACAAGTCAAGAGAATAACCCAAGACCCCTAAATAGGCAGACCTCAGGGATCATCGACTCTTACTCCGACTTCGTATTCCTTGATAAGCACGAGAGACAAAAGCTAATGATAATATCTTGAGTATGGAAGATATACATTTTCTGAGTAACTCAGTTAGCCAGGAATTCCTGATTTAATAGGCTACAGCTGTTATAGAGTCCGAAGAGCCTTGAACTTGATGCCAGAAGATGTGGGCTCTGCCACTCATTTTAGAAGATTTTAACACTCTGTACCTTAGCTTGCTCATTTCTAAAAATAGAATTATGCCACCTAATTAAAAGCTGAAGTGACAAATATTTTTAAAGCACTACTCAAATCTCAAAAGTTATTATTCTATTGTTATTATAAGTTTCCTCAAAATCTATCAGTTCACTTAATGCCTTAGTAAGCGTTTAATAACACCAGCATATTGTGTAGAATTGAGTCTGGTTTTGAGTATTCTCACCTTGCTGGACTGTTATCCTAAATATCAAGAAATACTATACTTACTGGATTTCGCTAACCAATGTTACCATAATAAAAATAAAAAATAAAAATAAAAATAGATAAAAATAAAAAATAAAAATAAACAAAAAAAACCCTCTGTTTAAAAAGCGGATACTACACAGATTGTCTGCAAAGTATGTACAAATAAAAATTATAACTATGAAAAAAAAAAAGAAATACTATACTGATAGAAAGTTTGCCAGATCAGATTGAATGCATATTGATCCCAAGATATAATGTGAAAATTATATTAATAACAACTTTGATAATACTTGTCATTTAAAACTAATTTTTTCAATTATAAAAATGATAAATTATAAAAGTAACCATATTTTAACAATACAAAAGTTTGTAAAGAAAAAAGCCAAGTCTTCTCTCCATCACAAACTCTAATCTCACTCTGATATAAATTAAAGAGTGTGGTATGTAGCCCAAATTTTTTCTATGTAGAATCAAGCAAACACATGTGAACACACAGAGACTTTACCCAAAGGGGCTGATAAACTATAAATATCACTTAGCACTTTTTCCCCTTACTTAGTCCATCAGCGACTTCCCACCAGAATAATAACATAGAGCTAACTCATTCTTTTTAATGACTGCCTAATATTCCACAGCAGGGTCATATCGAAATGCCCTCAACCATTGACCTGTTGAAGGATAGTGATTCTAATGTTTTACCATTACAAATAATGATTCAGTAATCATCCTTATGCATTTACCCTTTCATATCCGTGTTTTATTTATGAGAAATAGATTCCTTCTAGGGATTACTTAATCGAAAGAAATGTCTTTTTTTAAAAAACATTGATAGGTAGTGCCACAAATCACACTCTCACCGGCAGTGTATGAGAGCGCCCATCTCCCCCAACTCGGTGCCAGCCCTGGATGTTATCAGTGGATTATTAAACGCGAGGTTTATAATCTTAGGTCTGGCGAATTTACCAATCCATGGCAAGGCCTGCCAGACTAGTGACAGAGGGCCTAAGGGAAAG